AGATGGGGGTAGAATCTTTTTGTAAACATGAGAATTGAAGCAGCTTCTCAGCTAACTACTCACCTCAGTGTGGTTGATGACTTTCAAATTGAAGTCATCAATGCCTGTTTCACCAATTTTGCAACTACATCCTTTCTGACCTGCTCTCTTACATGTGTCAGTCATCATTCTCATATTGTTTGTTTTTGTCCCTGTCATTCTTAGATGGATTCTGATTCCATGGCCAAACTCAGACCAATTCATAGGGAATAATGCATATGAAACCCACAAATGCCTTTTCATGTATATAAATGAAGGCAGTATGGGGATTCAATTCCATTGTGATAGACAGGAATATACCAAGGAAACATTTGCTGTGATGAAAGTTCTCTTGGGAATTCTCAGGAAAAGCTAATACTCAAATATGTCTTAAAGAGGCCTTTTGTTAGTGAGACGTGGGCCTAAGACAGCACAAATAAAGTCCAACCTAGTTAGCTGTGAAATACTTCTTTCATAGATAACTTATATAATGCTCCAAATCTCATTTTTTAACACTCTGAAAGAATTAAATTGCATAAGCAGAACTTTTTCCAGAATTAAAAATTAACTTAGATGTCAAAATAAAACCCTAGAATTTAATTTATCATAAAAGCTATATTCTCGAATAGAATCTAATGGACCAAAACAGATAAAGCAATTAAATGGGAAATGCTATGAATTAATCTTATTTAAAGAGGCAGTTGAGATGGAATTCATATTTTTAAAGACACAATAACCAGGAAAAAAAAAAAAGCCACCCCAGCTCAGCTAGTGGTACCATAATTTAAAATAATAAAGCATTATAAGTACCTAATTTATTCATTTTCTGTAGGTGCTATTTGTTAATTTTGACATCCCCTTCAGTTTTGATTGCTAGTGACTTTCCTCTCTTAGGGGACGTTTTACATTTTTTTTTGCTGTTACTTGCTAAATTGTAGTGGTAATTGTGTGTCTGCTATGTAAAGGAGAAGGCTATTGAAGTTCTGAGACATTTAAGCTTAAAGCCAGTACTTCTGAAATATTCTATCAAATAATCTCTTCATGCCTTAGTTTTTCCTGCTTAGGATTGAAAACTTCATGCAATAATATAGTGCTGAATACATTCTTTGAAAGACTCTACATCCTTATTATCACTATTATTATTATTGATCAATAGAGTGACTTTTTTATCTCCTTTTTATAGTAATTATATATTAGTAAGGTTGGCACCCGTTGCTTTATGTATAATGTGTGGGATGTATGCATATATCACTCAAGATAATTAATATATTCACCACTTCGCATTACCTTTTTTTAAATGATGAGAGTACTTAAAATCTATCCTCTTAACAAATTTTAAATACATAATACAATATGACTGACTAAATAGGAAAAAATCAGATTTTCCTCTTTCTCTGAGCAGGGAAAAACCATAGTTCTTCCCTACTGTGTGCCCCCCCACCCTGCTTTATGTTTACACAGAACACTTTACTTCTTATATTTCTGGTTTCCACATGTGTGGAGACTTTTCCCCACACTAAGCAATCTCTGTGACACTAGCTGGTGTCCTGCAATTTAATACAACTCTAATATGCTCTACCCAGAGTTGCCATAGGTTAAGAGCTGAGTCACACAAAACTTCCTTCTACTTCAGAAGCCAGTTGCAAGTCCAGGTTACCATCTGTGCTTCTGACCAGCCACTATAGATCAGAAATTAAAATGACCTCCTCCTTGGGTTAGATTAATTTGCTAAAGCCACTCACAGAACTCAATGAAACATTTATAATTATCAGTTTAATATAAAACAATATGATAAGGGATACATATGAAAATCCTGATAGAAGATGAGCAGGTGAAGCATAAAGGAAGAGGCCCGGAGCTTCTCTGACCACTTCAAGCTTCACTTCTCCCAGAACCTCTACATGTTCAACAACCCATCCATCCAGAATTTGTCTGACTCACTTCCTTTTGGATTTTCATGGAGGTTAAATTACAGAGACATAATTCAATCATTAGCCATTGGTGATAAATTCAACCTCCACTCCTCTAGGTAGTTCTTGGGTGTGAACAAACATTCCAAACCTTTAATCACATGATTGGCTTCTTCAGCAATCAAGCCTCATCCTTATGTGATTTCCAAAAGTCACCTAATTAATGTAACAGCCCATAACATTTTTTGCTCTCAATACTTCGTAGGAAATTACTAAGATTCTACAACATCACAGTTGTTAACTATATTATTATCATTTATGATTGCTTTTTTGGGCCATGTTGCCTGATGGTTACCAGCATGGACTGGAGGTAGGCCGACCAGGCTTTCATCCTGATTCTATCACTTCCTAATGTGGAGATTTTCTGCAAACTTATTTACTCTGTGATTTAACTGTGTGTCTCCACTTGTATGTGTATAATAATAGTACCTACCTTATAGAATTTTTAATGCTAAATAAAATGACTCCACAGGGAAATCGATTTGAATATTAGTTGGTATATAAGTAAACGCTCCATAAACACTATTATGTTGTTATTATTTTATTTAATTTTCCTTTGAATTAGTCCTAAATATGTGTACTTAAACTTCCAATGATTAATTGTAAATTTTGTTATTTCCTTCATGATTATGAAGAGCCCACTAATAAAAATAGTGTTTTCTTAGCAGTAGATCTTAACCTTTAAAGAATCCCCCATTGTAAAATATAGCAAACCCTAATATTTATAAAATCTCACAATAAGTCTTATGATTTAAAACATATCAGAGAGTGAGACAAAATTCTTTGTCCAGCCCATTCACACAGCAAGAAGCTAATATGCCCTCCACTACTTCTTCTCCCCATAACAAATTTGTGGCTGTGAATATACAGTCTTTATTACTGTTTTTGTCCTCCACTCTCTTTTTCTATACTCTCCCTTCAGAACATTTTGCATGTTGTCATCACTTCTGTCTTCCAAAAATGGCCCTTCCACAGTTAGTTTTCCTCTTCTCATACACAGAGTGTAAACTTCAAAACATACTAGGCTCTCTGCACCCACAAATTAACTACATCTGAGTCATTGCTATTCCTTTTAGAATCAATTTATTTTTTTTTAATTATTTTTTTTAAAATAATAAATTTTATTTTTATATTCCCCCATACAACTGCACATGCCCCTTTCTGAACCCAATCCCTCCCCTCCCGGCCCCCACCCCCCAAAAAGTGTCTCTGGTTCATAGTTTTTTGTTGATTTTGATTTTCACTTTCTTATAGTTATTCATTTTCCTGATCCCTTATTTAAGTTTTCTAGATTCCTACTATGAGTGAGACCATCCGGTATTTTTCTTTTTCTTTTTGGCTTATTTCGCTGAGCATGATCCCTTCCAGCGCCATCCATGTTGCTGCAAATTGCATGTGTTTATCTTTTTTGAATGCTGAGTAATATTCCATGGTATATATGTACCACATCTTCTTGATCCAGTCATCTATTTTTGGGCATTTGGGCTGTTTCCAAAGCTTAGCTATTGTAAATAGTGCTGCTATAAACATAGGGGTGCAGGTGTTCTTTGGAATTGATGTTTCTGTGTCCTTTGGGTAAATACCTAGGAGTGGAATTGCTGGATCATATGGAAGCTCTATGTTTAGTAGGTCCAGAAATCTCCACACAGCTCTCCATAGTGGTTGGACCAGTTTGCACTCCCACCAGCAGTGCAGAAGAGTTCCTTTTTCTCCACAACCTCACCAACATTTGTTGTTGCTAGTTTTTTTAATGTGTGCCATTCTCACTGGTGTAAGATGGTATCTCATGGTAGTTTTGATTTGCATTTCCCTGATTACAAGTGATGTTGAACATTTTTTCATATGTCTGTTGGCCATTTGCATTTCCTCTTCAGAGAAGTTTCTTTTTAGCTCTTCTGCCCATTTTTTGACTGGGTTATTTTCTTTGTTGTTGTTGAGTCTCATCAGCTCTTTGCAGATTTTTGTGATCAGTCCTTTATCATTAGTGTTGGGTGCAAAAATGTTCTCCCAGTTGGTGGGGTTTCCTTTTAGAATCAATTTAATTCTTTCTATTAGTTCAGAGTTCTTATGATCACCTCCTGTAGTATCTGATACAGGTTCCACTGTGCTGTGGATCTTCCAGTTCTATATGCTTATCCAATCCTATAGACCTTTAAGATGGTGCTGGATACCTACCCCTTAACAAAGGCTCCTCTGTGTCTAGTTTGTGTAGAGATGACCCCACAACAATTTATTTTATACAAGAGCTGCGTACAGGCCAGAGGCAAGGTAGGGTGAAAGGATTCACCAGAGACAGAGTGGGGAGCAGAACAGGCAGAAGGACTGAAGTACACTGTTGAGGGGAGCAGCAGGTGTGACAGGAGAGGTCTGCCATACCATGTGGGTATCTCCATGGCCAGCCAGGAATAAAACTCATGTTTCAGAGGCTGTGGAAAGCTTCATAGCACTGTGCTAAACTCGCCGTGCCACTGGGGAATGCCCCCCCCCCCAACAATTTAAAGGGCAAACCTCTGGTTCTCATGATTTTTTCTGCCCCACTATATTTTAAGAGCTTTTGGGGTCATTTGTATGAATTGTGTACTTAATAGTATAAACTTATTGACTGATTCCCCCCCTGTATTATTGTTTAATTTGTTATGACTGAGTTTTTTTTAAATTGACTCTTCCTCTTCCCCATTCTCCATGCCTTTCACATTCTGTATATGTGGTTCATGATAATGTGATCTTTTGTCATAACAAAACTTTTTATTTATTAAAATGAGTTTGTGCACAGTTTTACTATCAATATATATTTTCTTAATAGTTACTCCTTGGAGTCATATTAAGTTAATGGAATTTCAAAGTTAACATTATGGATAAATAACAGTTAAGCTAGAGTCACATTTGTTTATATAACAAGTTTGGCTTTATAATCAGTTTTGCTTCTGCTGTAACATTTAGAAAGTATTTAATGATGGGGGGAGATGTAAGTATATTCATTATGGTAAGAGAGCATTGACTATTTTTTTTTTCCAGAAAATGGATGGAAGTCTAGGAGCTTCTATGAAGGATAAAGGAACTTTAGCCACTCATTGAAGATCTATCAATCAGGTAACAAAGTCTAAAACATAATTACTTTAGTTTCTGGTCATATGGAGAAAATACTGGAACTGCCTACAATTTTGAAGGCTATCTTATAATGAATGATGGATTTTTATCTGAGAAGCAAATAAATAGGTACATAAAGTTATGTTTCTTTTTTTTTCAGATTGACAGGTAATATAATCTGAGTAGATTTGTTTGAACTGAGAAATAGAAGACCCAATTCTAGATTAATTTAAAAATTTGGAAACGGAGTTTTGTTGGAATGAAAAGAATTAGTTTAAAAAAAATCTCAAATGTAGTTAGTTAGATAAGATTTAAGTGAGAAACTATAAGTCAAATCTATAAAGTCTTGAACAAATTAACCATGTTACAAGGTAGCAACTGTATAGAAAGTCTCATTTCATTTGTAACATAGATTCTTAATTATGATAACATTTTGTTTGGTATACATGTATATGTGGTAATCACTGTTAAACTTCAACTCCTGTAGTGTGTGGTTAGGAGTGAGGGAGTTAATATTTTTAAAGATTTATTTATGTATGCATAGATGAAGTGGGGTGTAGGTCAGAGGTGTAGGGGTGAGAGGATTCACCAGAGAAAGAGTGGGGAGCAAAACAGGCAGATCTACAGAAATACACTGCTGAGGGGAGCAGCTGGCGAGACGGGAGAGGTCTGCTGTGCCATGTGGGTCAGCTCGCTGGCAGGGATTGAACTCAATCCTTAGCAGTGATAGCGCTGAGCTTAACCCCTAGACCACCACGGAGGCCCTAGTCAGTCAATATTAAGGCAGCAGAATATGAAAGTGAGGGAATGGTGATGGGGATTGCCAATTCAGCACATTCAATGGGCAGACAAAAGGATTGAATTTTTCATGCATGGGGACCTAAATGATACACACACATGGTCATTTCCTATAAAATAAATCTGAACAAAACAAACACAAAGCAAAAAGCGATATTAAAAATTGACTTATAAAATTCATACAAAAATATTGCCCTTTTTAATCTGGTAAAATATACAAAGCAAAAAATCAACTGTTTTAACAATTTTAAGTATACAATTCAGTGGCAAATTAGTATATTCATAATATGCAATTATCACCAATAACCGTTTTCAGTGTTTTTTCACCGTCCCGTACAGAAACCTGAAGCCCATTAAATAGTAACTCCCCATTCCCTCATTTCTCCCAACGCCTAGTAATAATTATCTGCTTTCTGTTTATATGAATTTGCATATTATAGATACTTCATATAAATTATAACATACAATATTTGCCCTTTTTGTGCCTAACTTATTTCACTTGCTCTGTTTTCAAAATTCAGTCACTCTGCAGCATGCATCAGAATTTTTAAAGTGAAATAATAAACCATTGCATATACATAACACACTTTACTTATTAATTGTTAGATATTTGGGTTATTTCTACCTTTTGACTACTATGAATGATGTTGTTATGAACATGGATCTACAAATATCTGTTTGTGTCCCTACTTTAAATTTCTTTGTCTATATTCCCAGAAATGAAATTAATGGATCATGTTAATTTTATGTCTAACTTTTGGAAGAATCACCAAATTTTCTTCCATTGTAACTATACACTTTACATTCATGCCAATAATTCTACCTTCTCATATTCTAGTGGTCACTTGAATTTTGCCTTTTTAAAAATATCACTGAATGTATGCAAAAAGGTATAATTATGAACATGATTATAATGCATCAGATTTTCCCCATACCTACAAGCCATTCTGTTATCAGTTTCATGTTCTACAAAATTCAGTTCAATTCTGACACTATCAACCCAGAGATAGTATCTAATTCCACCGGTGATAGTATCTAATTTCACCGGTTAAGACCTCAGTCCCATAAGACTTATCCCATGATTTGCAATGAAAATTGCAAACCCAGGGTGTTGCCTCTGCTTCTGACTAAGTCACATGTTCCCATGATGCTTTCTTTGTGTTGGATTTATTTGCTGGAGAGAGTTACAGAACTCAAGAAACCAGTTAATCACTGGATTCCTGATTTATTACAGAAGAATATAACTCAGAAACATTCAAATGGCAGATATACATAAGGTATGGTTAACAGGTGTAGAGCTCCCATGCCTTTTTAAGGTACACCATTCTCCCCAAACCTCCACTTGTTCCTCATACTTAAAGTTCTCAAATCCCTGACCTTTGGGGAATTTTTTGGAGGCTTTATTACATAGGCCTAACCTATTAAGTCATTGGGCATTTGGTGATTGAACTCAATGTCCACTCCCTCCTCTTTCCCCAGATGGAGTGGAAGAGGATGGGACTGAAAGTTCCAACCCTCTAATTACAGGATTGGAACTCCAATATTGATCAGCCCCATCCTCAGGTGCTTTCTAGCAGTCACCTCATTCACATAATGAAACACACCTTTGTAACTCTAGTGCCAGGACCAGAGATGAAGACCAAATATATGTTTACTATAAATCACATATCATAAATATCAATATGAGAAGAAGCACAAAGATATATTCTTCAGTGAAAAGTGTCTTTCCAATTATTTGTTAGGAATATAGTCAGATGTTCATATGATATCCAAGGCTTTCCTTAATTTCACCTATCTCTGTCCTCCAGTTACCCACAGTTAAGCTTTTCTCATAAGTGAGGATACAGCCTATCATTCAAATATTTATACCTTTGCTCTGCCCAACATGCTGTATACTCTCGCTATGTGAAAAACTTTTTCCCAACTACCATAGAGAAGAACAATTAAAATAACTTCATCTAGATATGAGGATGTAATTGTTATTCAAGCCATCACCATCTCTACCATAGAACTCCCCATCTTTTTCATCTCTGTGCTCCTGCAGTCTGCCCTCCATCCGGCAGCTGGCAGCATTATTAGAATTGAATTTGAATGCAGATTGTACAGTTCTTTTGTTAGGGGGAAAAGGATGTCCTAAAGCTAATTCCATACAGGCTTTGTGGACTCCACCCCCACCCCAGACCAAAGCCAAAGACACTGGGAACTCCAAATCCCATCACCACCAAAGGGAAGGTGGCTGGGACCTGACGGTGGGGTTAAACAGCCAGGTTGGTATAAAGCCAGACATGTGGGCTTTGGAGGGGTCCCCCATTTTGACTCTCCGCCAGCTCGCAGCGTCCGGCCAGCTCAGAGAGTGCTTTTGGGTTTCCAGGTCGGCGGATCGGGTAGGACGCATTAAAGACTTTATTTCCCTATTTTCTCCCTGAGTTGTACATTTTCCTTATTTCCTTTTCCCTTGTAAATAAACCTTTTATTAACCTTTTGTGTATGCCTGTAGTGGAGTATTAAGTCCCTTGTAAGCGCGCGGGTGAGGACCCACAGCCAGGCAACCTGTTCAATATCGGGGCTGCCCTATAACACTTTCATTTCACGATACATGGTTGCTTCTCAAGCACTTAGATTATTATCTAAACTCCTCTCCATATCTCAAGGTCCTAACCATCCTGCTTGCTCAGTGCACTGCACTCAACTGCCCTTCTGTCATCTGTTTCACTAGGCTTTCAACTCTGAGGTCTAGATATTTACAAGGAGCCAACAGAAAATTCACCAAAGTGGAGCTTGTACTTGATCACTTTTGCTAGAGAAATTGTCGGATATGGGTGAATGCTTACTGCAGAGACATCCCATACAGCCCTGAGAGGCTGATGAAGTTGACCCTGTGCTCCCTGGAGTCATTGGGAGTCATCACCATAACTCATATAGGTCCTCCCTCATAAAGGCAATAGAGTACCACATTCAGTCTTTTACAAAACTATTTGCTCTCCCACCTTCCACCATTCTCTGACCATGTGGTTTTGCAAATTCCTTTCTTCTAAAATGTTAATTTTACATGAACCCCAAGTTCTTAGAAAATAGAAAAAGTTAAGAACCCCTGCCACATGTTTGATCCTGGAGACATCTGACTGAAAAAACCCAGTTCTCTTTCCATATACCCCCTTCTTTACCTAAGACAAAGAGGGTCCCTCCAAATTCCCTTTGACTCATGAATGACTAGAAAGTCTGTTTTGTACTCATTGAGCAGCTGAAATCAAATGCCTGTTAACCAAACTTTTGTTAAGTGTCTCCCCTTCTCCAACAACCCAGGTCCTGAATTTGAGCCACTGGGTCATAAGACAACCCAGTCTTAACTACTCCTCTTGACAACAGAGTGGCAATAAATCTCTGATCTGTCCCTCAAACTTTTAATCCAGTCCCCTATTTTCCTTTTTAATCTTATTTATGCCTCCCCAAAAAGAAAAAAAAAAGAAATTCTTTTGGCCTACCCCTAGAGATGATTGATGATTTTATGGTTTAATATTGTAATAGTCCCGTGTTCTTTCAGCAATAGTCTCTTTCCCCACCTTATGATAGCCCTTTCAAAGAAAATCTGTAGAACAAATCTGAATTTGTTTACTATTTGGAACTTCCCTCCTACTCTCTGAAGGGCAGTTGCATCCTTTTCTCTTCTCCTTAAAACCCTTTTCTCTCTCTGTGTTTTTACCATAGCTTTCACTGTTTTTTAGACAACAGATCCCCAATCATTGACAATCCATATAGCAAAGGAAGGTGGATATAATCTCTTGTCCCTGCAATGTAAATGAGAGTATGTTGAGTCTGTCCTTCTGGAATAAGAGTAAAAAAGAAGAAAAAGAGTGTTTTGTTTGTTTGCCTTTTACTAAAGTACAAGTCTGTGTATTTGTCCTAATTTGCGTGTATCAAAAGCTTTGAAAATATGCATTCCCTTTGATCTAAAGATTCTGGTTATAAGAGTTACTTCTAAGGAAAATTATATGATACAACCAAAATATGTTGAAAATATATACATATTTGCAAGTCTGTTTGCAAAAAGAAACATGCTGAGGAAAAGAAATACAATTAAAAAATGGTGTATTCATAGCAAGAAACAATTTTTAATAATTTGCATGGACATGCAAAATGCTCATGATATACAAATATATTATAAATAGTAATATTTTAGTTTTTAGTCAAATCATGATATATATGTA